TGTTTAACTGAATTTTAACTTGTAGAATGGATTGTAGATTGCTCTGATTGCTGTTGAAGATAGAGTAAACGCTATCTGGCAAAAGACTCACCTAGAAAGGACGATGATGGGCGGGTTAAATATGTGCATGGGATTAAGGAAGAGGCATATATGGCAGGACACGCTGGTATAACAATATCCTCATGTATTAGGAGGACCGTAGTATTTGGGAAGACGAATTCCTTTCGCCACAAACCTCGTACTCGTTTGAGACTTTCCACGTCATGACACGCCAGAAGCTAATGGAACTGCCATTGCTGAAATTCGCCTGGAACATGGAGTCTCCGGGGACAAGAACTTCACTCAAGCTGTCTGCCAGCATGCTATCTATATTCATCAGTACTTCAGTCAATGATTTCGCCTGATTAACATTACAAGAAAATACCACATTTAGTCACTTGCAAGGCTCAATCAGCTCTTCTTGCCATAAAAATGTTCAAATTGCTAGAGAGAACGAGCAAATTATTGAAGAAATGAGAAGAATCAAGGTCAAATTAGGAGATGGATAGCAATCATTGAAGAGATATGGAATGAATGTAAGAGTGGACAATGGTTCACCGACTGATTACATTAGTACACTGCCATTCTTAACCTCACATCCATCAAGTCTTGGCAGGAAACATCGAAATTGGATAGAAACTACTCACAGATAGTATGTAGGTTTGATGTGTGTTCTTCAAAACCACTGCGTCGATGGAGTCTACAGCTAAAAATTGAGGGAACTGAACCTAGCAAGATTTGCAATCTAGCTGCTATTCCTTGCAAATCTGCATCACTTTGATAGTCACTAGGGCAATGTATTTTTAATTTTTCACTTAGCGTGTTGTTAATCAGAGTGGCAATCACATAAACTAAGCATCCTTTACGATGGACGAGGTATCACCAGGCACATAGGCTTTACCACTTTTAAATACACAAAACCAATCAGAGTGGAAGTATTTGTAATGGGATCAGCTTACAATAAGCAATAATGTCAGTTTCATGGTCGAATTCTTGTGTCCGGAAACTTTTGAGTGAGAGAGTGGGATTGTCCAGTTG